TATATATATATATATATATATATAGGCTGGTTCAAATGTTAACCAATATTGACAATTGATTCTTACAATAAACGGTTGTGATTTATCATATTAAAATTTTAATTTTTTAAATTTACAATTTCACAAATATATGTGAACTAAGTGGAAAAGGGTATTTATGCAATTTTCTTTTTTATGTAACTCCATATTATTAATTGGGAGTTACAAAATCAAAAAATATCATGATTTTTGTTAATTTATTTTTGTTAATGTAAGAACCATATGAACACACACATATATATAAACCATTGTTGGCAAAACAGGTCCCTCATCTTTGAAAAAGATGATGTTCGTCTTCCCCCCCCCCCGAAGTTTCTGACATTTACAACCAGACCCCTCCTCTTGACGTTATTTACATTCCAAAGCAAATTTAAACTCTTAATACTTTAATTAAGTGACAGATTTGGTCCCGCTCAACTCATTCATTCACATTTTTGGTCCAATAAATTAAAAACCAATTTTATTGTATTTTCCATTTTGTCCTTATTTTCATTATTTCTTATTTCGAGACTTCTATAATTATTTCTTTCGATTAATCACTTAAATATTTTAATACTTCAAATAAACTTATAAAAACCAATATTTAAAGACTCGTACAATATTATTTTTATATATTTAATATTTTGGGTTTTACAATAAAAATTTAAACCGGTACATAAACCTCATTTAAGCTACGCTCTGGATGTTCTAAATGTTTACATTTTCTTAAAATATGGATCCTTTGGCTTAACTCTATTAAATCAAACTCTATTTTCATTTTTTTCTCATTTTTTAATAAAAATTATATATTAAATTTTTATTTATGTACATAATATATACACAAACACGTTGACATCCCCCCGACGTGACACCCTCTACCAAATGTAACTTAACATCCTTCCATTGATGAAGTTCCCTCATTTCCATCCTCATCTAAAGATCTTTTGGGGCAGTTTATCAAACGCTTACCCGGGTAAGCGCTTATCAAGTCATTACTTTACCGGATGAATATGACAAAGACCAAAAATCTTACCCTGTAAGAGCGAGACAAGGAACAAGAGTCTTACCCAGTAAGTGAAGACGACGACTCTTACCACGATAAGAGCTTATCGGGTCGATTATTGCATACGGTGTTGTTTTCGTGGAGTAAAATCTTACCCGGCAAGTAAGTAATAGTGTTAAATTTTACGGGTAAACACTTACCGGGTAAGTGTTTGGTAAACGGCCCCTTTGTTTTTTCCCAAGCTCTTCCATCGGTATGATTCTGTCTAGGAAGACGATATCTCTGTAATCACGTTTGACCAACTTCTCACCCTGTTTTTCTTTGTGTTGCATCTTCGCGCATTAATTTGATTCCAAGGGGTCTCCATATCTATGGCTGCACATGGGTTGGGTTGGGTTGGTCGGTATTTTGAGCATCCCTAAATTGATCAATGCATGGGTTGGGTTGGTCGGTATACACACACATTAACACATAACCTATAGATATGAATCGTGCACGCACACACATACACCATCTCCTCCCCCTTGGTTGATCGCATACCACATTCTTCCCTCGCACCACTTTTGCTTACGTGCATCTATCTCTCCAAACCTTTACCTGTTTCTTTACGTTTCGAAAGCAACAAATTTATTATCTGTGCAACTTAAACAAGTCTTAGAACCACTGGAAACAAAGATAAAATGAAGAAGTTGATAATGGGTTGTAGGTTTAGGGAAGGGAAGGAGGAGACTAGATACGGATTCACCAGAGGGTTGTAGGTTTGGGAAGAGAGGCTTTTGGAGGGTGTTGCGATCTGGTGGTGCAGTGTGAAAGGAAAGAGTCAGGGGAGATGTCTTACTACGATGGAAAAAAGAGAAAGAGGGTTGGCTAACTGGAGCGGGAGATGGAGGCTACTGGTGTTGGATATCGCCGGAGATGGAGCTCCATGACGTCGGTGATGGAACAATGCTGGGAAGGGGAGGGTGTGAGGAAAGATAAGAGAGCGGAGAGCAGGGACGGGCCCAAAGTGATGCATGTGATGGCACAAGTCACTGCTTCGTTCCTCTGTCATAGTATAAAAATTTACAGGATCATAAAAAAATGAAGCCAGTTTTGAAAGCCCGATCTACGGATAAAGTGGGATTTGGTATATTATATGTAGAAAGAATCATAGATACATAAACATGTGTGTTACTTAAAATTAGATATTACACATACAAATCATCATCCTCCCATTTCAATGCATTTACAACTACTGCTACTGCTACTGCTAAACATTAGGGCCTGTGGGAGGAGGAGGAGGATAATCCATGTTCAAAACTAACAAATCTAATCAAATCAAGAAGCCGAAGACCGGTTTCGTAATACACGAAACGATCCACATAAATTGTATGTTTGTCGCTATCAGTTGGCCGTGGTGTCTGCTGAAAATATAGATTCCTTCTTGCAGCAATGGAATTCTCAGATGATTCTGCCATTTTCATTGCATTCTCTCTGCTGCATGATATATGTATGTACATATATATATATATATCAGTCACCCATAAGTATACAATGAATACATCAATAACTAATTCTTGTCATGATAGAAAGAACAAATACCAGTCATTCTCTTTTGTCCTCCTCAATAACCTCGAACACGTGATCTGTTATAATCGCAGGTTTCCTCTCCATCAATTCTCCCGATACTTTCACTCCACTGCCCGTCAAAGAGATACCCTCTTCTTCTACGTCCTCAACTTCCGAATATGAATATCTGCACCATAATAATGTCATTACCCTTTGGAGCATACTCTTTTGGAGCATAGGTCAGATCTGCATAAGTGCACACCTCATACTGGGATAGTTTTTACATTTCAAGAGGCAAAACTTACTTTGCGCTAAATCAAAATTTTATTTTTGAAATTGAAAAATGCTCGTCTTATAGAAATTAATGGCTCAAAGTTATTTTCTTTTCATTAATGGTTAACAGAATAAATACAGGACTTAAGAAAATAAATATGGAAGTCCCTAAACTTAAGGCACAAGGTAAGGGAAGATAACTAAGAAAATTCTTCTATTCCAATACTCTCTCTTAAGTTGGAGCATGGAGATCTCGGGAGCTCATCTTGTCAAGTATGAAACGAAGCTGTGAAGCGCACAACCCTTTGGTGAGAACATCAACAATCTGCATTTTGGAGTCAATCGGGAAAGGTTGGATTTCTTTGGAATCAACTTGTTCACGAACAAAAAAACAGTCCATCTCATCATGAAACACGGGATAATTAGCTATTCACAGAACAATGGGGTCGGGCCAGCGGAAGCAACATTGAGTTCTTGTAGGAGCCATCGGACCCATAGGATCTCGCTAACAGTGGAAGCCATCGATCAGTATTCTGCTTCGGTAGAGGAATGAGAAACAACGGACTGCTTCTTAGTTTTCCAAGAGATGGGAGCACCACATAGAAGAAGAACATAACCAGTCCTGGATCGACGTGTGTAAGGACATCCAAGCCAATCAGAGTCACAATAGGCCGTAAGAGTATAGCCGCCTGCCCGCGGCAGCAGAACATCTTGTCCGAGTGTGGTTTCATGTCTCGAAGGGTGCGATGCAGCGCATCATGTGGGGCTGTCATGGATCAGCCACAAATTGAGACAGGATATTGACAGAGTAGGCAATATCCGGTCGAGTGGCTTGCAAATAAAGGAGGCGGCCAATTATGCGTCGATAGCGGCTAGCATCAACTTGAGGTTCATCGGGTGATTTTTCAAGGAGGCGGTTGAAAGACTGGCCTTGAGAGGACATTGTCTCACTTTTGTCTAGCTTATGGTTTTGTTCCATGGGAAAAGAACTTGGCCTACATCCTTCGAAACCACAATCCGCAAGAATGTCCAAGGTGTATTTTCTTTGGCTCAACACCAAACGTTCGGCAGTACGAGCAACTTCTATGATGAGGAAGTACCTGAGATCCCTGAGATCTTTGATGCTAAATTTGTTGTCGAGTTCGGTTTTGGCGTGTTGCATTTTGGTGATGTCGTTGCCAACTAAGATGACGTCATCAACATATATGAGGGTCGTTGAAAAGTTTCCGTTTCGTTGGTGAATGAACAAAGAGTGGTCTGCCTTGGATTGTTTGAATTTAAGAGCAAGAAGAGCGTTGGTGAACTTGTGATACTAGTTCCACGAGGCTTGCTTCAAACCATAGATGGACTTTCTCAACCGGCATACTTTTGTTTCACCTTCTTTAGCAAACCCTTGTGGGATTTTCATGTAGATCTCTTCAGTCAAGTCACCGTGCAAGAAGGCGTTGTTCACATCAAGTTGGTGGATGAACCAATTGTTCTTGGTAGCTACTGCCAAAAGTGCTCGAATCGTGACTAGTTTGGCGGCGGGAGCAAAAGTATCATGATAATCTATTCCTTCCGTCTGTGTGAACCCTTTCGCTACAAGACGTGCTTTGTATCTCTCAACGTCCCCATTGGGCTTGTATTTGACTTTATATACCCACTTGGAGTCAATGGCATGCTTTCCATCGGGCAAGTTTTCGAGTGTCCACGTGCCATTTTCTTCAAGAGCACGTATTTCTTTTCTCATAGCCTCTGTCCAACGCTCGTCTCTGATGGCCTGATGAAAGAATTTTGGCTCATCGGTGGATCGATAGCCACTAAAAAAACTTTATGAGTTAGAAAAATGATCATACGAGACAAAATTAGATAAAGGGTGTATCGTCGAGGAAGCTTGAGTTGGTGGGGTTTGAGCATTGTCAACCGAAGGGAGGAGTTGCACAACGAAGTCATCGAGACGTTTTGGTTGAGACTGATGTCGTTTGGGTTGACTCAGCTGATCCGAGGGGTCTGGTACCGCTTCTTCTACCTCATAATCCGTGTTTCCCATGTTATTCGAGACTGGGCTGGGAGTCTCGTGATCTGGGCCTTCGGGGAGAACTTCCTGACCCAAGTCATCGTTATTATCCTGCTGATCGTTCTCAGAAGGGCTGCTGAATCGAGGGGCTCATGTGGGTCATCATGTTGGGCCGATTGGTCTTGTGGGTCGAAGGGATCTATTTCCTCTTGTGTATGGGCCAGTTTTTCAAAAGGAAATTTATTCTCACAAAACCGAACAACCCTGGATATAATGATCTTCTCTTTTATGTCATAGATTTTATAACCTTTTGTACCTTGCGGGTACCCCAAGAACACCCCCGGTCTCCCCCTTACTTCAAACTTGTCTCCATTGGTTGTTGTGTTTCTATAGTAGGTTAGACACCTGAAAATCTTCATGTAACTGCTGGCTTTTGATTAAAAACAATTTCATAGGGTGTCTTGTTCCCAATGATCTTGGAAGGCAACCGATTGATGATAAACTTTGCTGTCAGGACGCATTCTCCCCATAATCTTTTGGGTAAATTGGCTTCAAACCTTAGGGCTCTAGCGGTTTCAAGCAAATGTCTGTGTTTTCTTTCCACAACCCCATTTTGTTGTGGGGTGTATGGACAAGTAGTTTCAAGCAAAATCTCATGTTCATTGTAAAACGTTAGCATGTCGCTTGAAGTAAACTCACCACCATTGTTCGTACGGATTCTTTTGATGGGTTTTCCAAATTGAGTTTTTATCATGTTGTGAAAACTCATCAAGCGACTGCTTGCTTCGTGCTTGAATTTTAGAAGAAAAACCCAAACGGCTCTACTAAAGTCATCGACTATGGTTAAAAAATAATTTGTCCCAGAAATAGAAGGAACACGATATTCCCCCCCGATATCACAATGTATTAACTCAAAACAATCATTGGCTTTAATATTACTATTTGGAAAAGRAAGTCTGGTGTGTTTTRCCTTGGAACAWGAATCACAAATCTGATCAAAAGAACTATTACTAAGAAAATCTATTTGAGTAAGTTTATCAATGGATGCATGTCCCAATCTTTTGTGCCAGATATCACAATGTATTAACTCAAAACAATCATTGGCTTTAATATTACTATTTGGAAAAGGAAGTCTGGTGTGTTTTGCCTTGGAACATGAATCACAAATCTGATCAAAAGAACTATTACTAAGAAAATCTATTTGAGCAAGTTTATCAATGGATGCATGTCCCAATCTTTTGTGCCAGATATCCACAGTCGTAGTCATTGCCTTCTTCTCACCTCCAATCATCCCCATTCGGTATAGACCATTTTTGCACTCACCCGCACCAATCAAGCTCCTCGTGTGAAGTTTCTACATGACACAAAAATCCGGAAAGAATGTTATAGCAGACTGAAGATCCTTGCTCAGTCTACTAAGGATAAAAGATTGCAAGTATCGGGAATGTGTAAGACTCCTTTTATTTTAGTTCCATGTGGCAAAAGACATTCTCCTTTCCCTTCAACCGACATTGCATCCCCATTGGAAATGACAATTGGGGTTTCAAAGTAACTTTTGGTTTTATTTTCAAGGATACTACCATCGCGAGTGATGTGCTCAGTAGATCCTGAGTCAACCACCCAATAATCATTGTCATTACCTTTACCAGTCATAAACGTCTTTTGAGCATTAACTTCCTTATCGGAGCTTCCCGTTTCTGAAAAGTGCTTCAAAAAAGACATATTGTTCGTTGGTTAGTCCGGGAATGGGAGAGCTGCATCTAGATTCAATGAAGGTTGCTTTCGGTTTTGTTTCTTCACGTTTCTTGTTTCCCGGCCACCATTCTGGATAGCCTATCCGTTTGAAGCAACCATCTCGTGAATGCCCATCCTTTCCACAGAAGATGCAATGCTCGACCACGTCAACCCGTTTGGCATCCTTTTGAGTCGGTTTGTCACGCTTTTGGTTTTGGTTTCCTTCAGCAGCTTCTATAGTCGGCTTCTTATCTGCTGATATAGCTCTCTGGTGCTCGTCCTCAGCCACGAGGTGGTAAGCGTTCCCAAGGCTTGGTATGGGATACATGGCGAGTATATGGGTTTTGATCACGGAGAAGTGACTATCAAGACCCATGAGGAACTCATAGAGCCTTTCTTTCTCTCTCAGCCCACTTTCCTTTTTGCCGACGTAGCATGTACAACTGTTGCAGGAACACTTGGGCACCGACAACACAGACCCAATCTCGTCCCAAAGGCTGTGCAACTTGGTGTAGTAGACTGAAACGGTGGCTCCATTCTGATGTGTCGTCGATAGGGTTTGTTTCAATTTGTATGCCCTCGGCGCGCTTTCTTTTCCAAAACGCTCCTTTAGATCGGTCCAGATCTCAGAAGCGGTGTTGGCATACTTTACATTGGATCTTATCTCCTCCATAGCAATCGTTAGTCAACCTTTCACCATGGCATCACAGCGCATCCATAGCATGTAGTCAGTTGAATCCTTCTCTGGTTTCTTGATTGACCCATCAATGAAACCCACCTTGTTTTTGGCGAAGAGAAAATTCATGATCTCCTAAGACCAATCCGTATAATTGTTGTCGGTAAAAGTTTCGTTGACATGCATCTGTTTCGGATAATCCGATGCATGAATATACAGCGGGGAGTTCACGTCTGGTTCGTCTTCTTTCTTCTTTCCGGCCGAACCTTCAGTGCCGCCGGTCATGATTGTTGAACGGCTAGGGTTTTGTGTGTTTGGTTAACTTGGTTCTGATACCATATAGAAATTAACGGCTCAAAGTTATTTTCTTTTATTAATGGTTAATAGAATAAATACAGGAATTAAGAAAATAAATATGGAAGTCCCTAAACTTAAGGCACAAGGTAAGGGAAGATAACTACGGAAATTATTCTATTCCAATACGTCTAAGAGTCAATTGCAGACTTAAAGTTTGTAACTGAGGGAGTTGTGTGGCATAAAGCTTATGATGTATTCATCGTATTCCCTTTTGATGACAAAAATCCAATATATGCAAAGAAAATCAAGGATTCAGATGGTACCTGGTAGGATTATGCGAAGGAGCCCAGAGAAAGCATATCACCACCAAAAGTATATACGCCAAAAAAGCCCAGAAAGCTTGGATGGTCCAAGCTCGTCGCCATAATTCACTCAACGGATCACTTGCATTGAAGTACAACTGAACAAATAACATACAAATTCAATAATTGACGATTCAGAGATCAATGCGGATGCAAAAGAATAAATACCAGTTGTCATATATACAATTACATGCAAATATCAACAACCTCATATCAGCATAGCAATATTAACGATTATGATTATTAGATAAACTAAAGTAAAAATCCGGGCAAGGTGTAAAGATGGAAATCAATATGAAAAAATCAGTCGTAGAGTACCTCGTAGCCAATCCAAGCAACAGAAACCAACACCGATACCGCTAAAGCATTAGTAAACTTTCGGTATAGTTCAAGTTTGGCCATGCTTCTCCGTATCTGGGACAACATAGGCAAAATAATATAATTATCTCAAATTGCATCAAGATTGAGCATGTTTCTTGTGATGCATGAGTAATGCTAAACCACCTCCATATTCCATTAAACTTCAGCACTGGAAGCTGATTGGCAACTTCCATCATAAGCAAACATCAAAAAGGAAAACAATTACAACTTCAAACAGAAAGAAAAAACAAAAACATTCCATTCTATAACTGACTTGTGATTTGATAGGGAATGACCCATTGGCCCACTAGCCCAAGCCCAATTTTAGATATGAATACTAAGGGTGTAAATGATGCGAGTCGAGCTCGAGTATCGATATACTCGACTTGAACTCGATAGCCCAATTTTTTAAACTCGAACTCGTTTGAAGCTCGAACTCCAACCTGAATCAAGTTCGAAGTTCCAAGTTGAATGAAGCTCGAACCAAGCTCACCAATTGAAATTTATGAAATTTTAGGGTCTTCTCTTATAAATTTATAAAACTTAAAGGTGTTCTCTTCAATTTTATAAAACTAAAGGGATGCACCTCAGACTTCATCATAAAAAAGACAAAGTTAGAAACTCCCTTCACCTCCCTCTCTTTTTATACACCACTTCATTCCTTTACTATCTCTATTCCAATGTGGGACAACTTCACCGATACTTCTATAGTGTTTTTTTGCCTTATCAATTATTATTTTAATTAAAAAATAATTGATTAGTTTTTATAATTAAAAAATGCACAATTTTGTTCAAATATCTAAAAATATAAGACATTTTTTTATTGTATTATATTTTATAAATTATATATAATATTTTAAAACTAAATATATATAAAACTTTGAGTATCTCACGAGCTTTTGAGTCACGTATTGGGTAGCTCGATTCGAGTCATTCGACTCGTTAATATATCGAGCCGAGCCTATTCCAGTCGAGCGTTGACTGAGCTTTTATTAAGTCGATCTCGAGTAGCTCGCGGGTTGTCTCATATCATTTACACCCTTAATGAATACTTCAAATATGAATCCTATTAGGAATAAGGAGTCAGGCAAGAATTATATTTTTCAACAGATAGTATTTGGCTGTGAAAGCTTGGGCAGGAGGAAAGGCCGTTCATCGGCTTCCTTTTGATTTTGTCATCTCAATCTTTTGAATCCGATAATCAAATAGCTTAATCCTTCGATTTAGTTTGTTGTATCGATTATTCTGTTATCATTCTTATCAATTTGGTTCCATTGTCGGGAAATGATAGTCTCTCCAGAGACTCACTCAGGTGAATACTCTATTGCAATCAAGGATTGATGCTCAAGATGGGAAAATTGAAGCGCTAACTAACCAGGTGAACGATCCGTCCACTTCTATTAATTCAGTGAAGGAGATCCTAAATGAGTTGACCAAATCCTCAAGAAACTCACGATGAGTTATCAGAAGTATCAAGGAGAATGACCAAACTATGAGGAGGAAGATGATGGGACTCCGTTCAAAATCCCGACCCAAGGACTGGATTCCTTATTCAGCGGTAACATTTTAAAACTCCCTTATTTTCGATGCCCAAAGGTGAAACTCCCAATAGGAAGGTGTTGATCCCAGGGGATGGATCACCAAAGCATAACTTTATTTCCAGGTACATAAAACCTCTTCTTCTCATAAATTACTTTGGCGCTTCCGGTTCTGTAGGTGAGCAAATATAGGTTCGATTAAGATTTGCTTCTCCGGAGTCCTTTTGTTTCCGAAGTAACTCGCATCAACTAGCACTAGTTTACCCTTCTTATTGGATGATGACTTGCCAAAAATCGAAATGCCCTACCTTTGAGTGCGGTTTGAACTATTGATTTACGTAATTGGAAGTGTTCGCTTTTGAATTAGAGACATTAAAAATGATGAAGGGCCTTTTCCACGTAAAACGGGAATCTTTTTGTTACAATAGAAGCAGAAGTGATGTATCCCAGAGGATGGATCACCAAAGCATAATTTTATTTCCAGGTATAAAACCTCTTCTTCTCATAAATTGAATCTAACCCAAATGCGTATGGATGGATCCCCTAAATGGGTTCACAAATCTCTTGATTAAACATCCCCAAACCACTTGGGAACAATTTTGTGAAAAATTGTTGATTCGATTTGGAGGGACCAAATGCCCGCACATGACGCACTAGGGTCCCTGTATCAAGAGGGAGACATTGATGAGTATATTGAGAATTTTGAGGTTCTCTCGGCCCTTATTCTAGACCAAATGGAAGATCAAGCAATAGGGATGTTTCTTCATGGTCTCTAGGATGATATCAGGAATTGGGTCAGGGTACTCCAAGCACGAACGTGTGAACAGGCTATGAATCTGGCCCGTCATGTGGCGACAGCCACAACCATCGACGGGGATAAAACCAGTATCAAAGGGAAGACGTCTTTCAATTTTAGAATGGGTAGTACGACCCAAAGCCAAACCTGGAACTATAATCAAAAGGGAAGTGCCAATCCTCCGCACTCTTCCTATTACCCAACAAGTCATGGCAGTTACCCTACTGGCCAAGTCCAACCAAAATCATTTGAAACCGCAAAGTATAACACCAACACCACTCAATCTGCAGGACTAGACATCTGACTACATAGGAACGGGGGGATCGTCGCAAACGAGGATTGTAGTTCAGTTGTGGGCTAAGGTACTCTCCTTAGCATAAGTGTACGGAAGGGCAACTGCGGGTGATTTTGTTGGCCGACGGTGACGAGGTTATTGAGTATCTCTATGATAAGAAAGCAATTATAGCCAAACTCCAAAGATCATTTATTAATCACAGCCAAATGGCCTTTAAATAGACGATACATGAAGGAAAAACAACTACTGCTCCTAAGAAAACGGGATAAAGACGAGACTAAATAAAAAACAACTAATATCCCTAAACAAATGGGATTTTATTTCGAATCCTAGCTGACCAAGTCTAACAGAAGTAGGTGAGGATGGTCAAGTTCGTTATATTGAGGAAAAAGGAAATGATGATCCGGTCTTAGAAGGGGAGTGTAATGCCCTTGAGTTCTATGTAATTGCATCAGACTTCTCTCCGTCCTTGAAGACGCATAAACTAGCAGGGGAATTATGGGGCGTACCAGCTCTAATTTTGATTGACAGTGGGGCAACACACAATTTCATCTTGAAACAGTTAATGATTTTAGGGTTGGAAATTCGACAAACAAACCCTCTTTCCGTCTGTTTTGGTGGTTGTACCCGGGTTGGCATCTCTGAAATATGCCAAGGGGTCTCTATACAATTGGGGACCTTTACAGGTATCGTAGATGCTTTGGTCTATGATTTGAGACCCTTAGACATGCTTCTACGCATAGAGTGGTTAGGAACATTGGACGATGTTGTTTCTAATTGGCAGACCCAACAAATGCGGTTCTGGAAAGATGGAACTCTTATTGAGTTGCAGGGAGTCTCCTCCTCACGTTACGGTCAACCTTTGCTTAAGACATGGCCAGCACGCGGTTATAGGGGATACAACAGCCATTATAAATAACCAACTGATTCAATTGGGTACGGTAGCATTGGAGCAACTACTTGGAAGGATGCAATCGTCATTCAAACTCAGTTCACTGACTTCAGGTAAGCCTGCTCTTAAACACGGCGACATTGATAGGGAACGGCCCCCCCGGAACCACTAGCCCTAGCCCAAGCCCAATTTTAAATTGAATGCTATAAATATGAATCCTACTAGGAATAAGGAGTCAGGCAAGAATTATATTATTCAATAGATAGAATTCGGCTGTGAAAGCTTGGGCAGGAGGAAAGGCCGTTCATCGGCTTCCTTTGATTTTTCATCTCAATCTTTTGAATCCGATAATCAAATAGCGTAATCCTTTGATTTAGTTTGTTGTATCGATTATTCTGTTGTCATTCTTATCGCAATTGATAAGTACATACAGATCATGGTAAGCACTTGAATAAAAAACAGAAACCAAAAATTCCCACATAATAGAAAGAATTGGCTATATCTTTTATGCGAAGAAAGCATCAAATGATGAAAGGATGGCATGAATCAATCTAGTGCACAATAACTTTCACCCTAATTACCACATGAACATCTTTTTTTATCATGTATTGATGGATTAATTTACATAATCTATCGATATGAAGAAGTCAACAAACACAAATTTCCCTTTTCTTAATATAGGAAGCCGGTAGTGAATAATATTACGAATTTGCTAGGTTCTTTAAAACAAGGATGTATGGGCAACATGCACACAGCATACTTCATTTATTGTATAAAGAGAAAGCATGTGAACAACTACACTTTAGTAAGGATACACTGGCAACATGCAAACCACTTAATGATTTTCATACTTTAGACTATTGGCCCAATCAAAAACCATAAACTTGCAGACATCATCATCACTTTACGTGATAGTAAATACCACATACCTGTCATGACAGATACGATAGGTATGTTGATTGAGATTGCAATGAAGCGAAAAGAATTAACAGTGAATTTACCTGAAGCTTTTCCAAAGTTTTAGATAATGATGAAAAGATCCAAAGAATGAAGCATGAATCCAGTAGAGCAACTGGTAGCACCAGAAAGACTCTTGCTTTCCCAGAAAAATCGTTGATATTTCCAAGATTTTCAACAAGTTCAAGAGCTTCTGAAGCCACAAAGTATATCAGACCAAGAAGCAACACTTTCAAAGTTACACCTCCTAAGGTGGGTCGCACGATACCAAAACCCATTGATACAACTAAAAGAAGAAGACGAGAGAAAGTCTTCTTAAAAGCACTAAAAGTTACTGCCCAAAGAGTAATTCCCATTGGTCTGCTTCCCGTGACATTAAAATTTGCATACTCAAAATACCAAAGAGCCATCTCACACATTCCCAGACCAATAACAGCCGTGATGTGGTAGTGCAACTGTATTATATCCTTCCAATGTTGCACAAACCGAAGAAACCATAAAAGACCAAGCATAAGATAAGCTAGAGACATAAATCCATAAAATGGCAAAAATGGTGTCATCTTCCCTGGTAGATAACCATCTGGATTTCTCCACACAGTTCTTCCACTCATTATTGTTCCCTTGAGTTGTGGATCACAAAACATAAAGTACAGATAATACATTCCTGTTCTATTGATCTCAACAGTTTGCAGCAACATCTTTGCCTCTTCATTTTTTCCCTCAAAGGGGGTCTGTATCCGTTTAGGCCAGCCAGGATTATCAGGGTCTTGGCGAATGATGACTTCTCCTACCTTGCAGGAACCATCATTGGCAAGTTCAGGTGTACAACATATAGCATTGGAATTTAAATATGCACCACCAATCTTATCCCGGTTTTTCACTTCAACAATTATAGCCTCAACCAAACCAGTACTTTGTTGCATCTCATTCTGCTTAGCAGCAACCTCCTTTGGTCTTCGAAAGATGATAGACTCAAACCTGGAATCACAAGGCAGGGTATGAATAAAGTGGAATTGTGATGTCGTTTCGACCAGGATCCAAACTATGCGTTACTGGTAGGCTTGGCTATAATAAGATGAATAGGCATGTGCTATGGGGACGCAAATATGTACTTATGTGTAAGTCACTGGATGCCAATCACAACGAGAGCACAGAGAAATTTGCAACATCATTCTTGACTTAGATCCACTGGAAACGTGCTTCACTAAGGCTTCTTGCAATTGAGAGGATTGGAGTGGAAAGTTTTTTGCACAATCTTTTTAATGGACTTTGCAAAGAGATTGTTTCCAAATTCTCATTACTTGACATTAGATGCACACACAAGTTAGGCCTCCAAAAGTTGGTCATTAAAATGGATTTTACACGTAGTCTGAAAGAATATCCTTAGACTTCGGTGGAGCTACGAGGTTGCTCCATTTGACCCACAATTCGACTTTGAAATATTAACAATTACAAAAATATATCATATATATTCCCACTACAATGGCCTCCATCTCACTAGTCAACAAGTACTGATGCTATAAAAGAGGACCAAGGGATGACAAACTTTGGACCAATCAAGCAGCTTAGAGCAACACACACAATAACCTCCTTGCTCAGTGATGGAGCTTTTCTTTATGCCTGAGCCGAAACTTCAGCCCAAACCCCCACCCCTCACAAACACAAAACAATACTAGAAAATGGTTTTAAAGAGTATACTGCAATAACACTGGCCAGAAGATTAAGAAAAGTAGAAGTAAACAATAGAATGAAAGCAAACGCTTATCCTTACAAACTTAATGTACTTAATAGCATAACAATCTCCACAGCCTAATCATTCACACACACACACACTATATATATAATATATATATATATATCCTAAATAACTGTCCGTACCACTCGTCTCTCAATCCTGCAAGTCCACCCTCTCCGCATCATCATGTATGTCTTAAATTGCTGGTTCCAATAGAGGATGCTGGTTATCGAGTCAGCCAATAGAAACAGCTATCACCACTTTACAACTCCGACCACAAACTAGCTCCGCTTGGCTACTACAATACCTGCTTTACCAGACCACCCCCCCCCCCCCCAAAAAAAACACCCTAAGGTAAGCACCCAGTTTCTTAAAAATCTCTCATTCTTTATCGTACACACATCTGTAGGAAGTGATCAAAGGTTACCAATTGATCCAATTTTAACAAGTACTACTTCACATTGTGTAGAAGTAAATATAAGATCCAGTTTAAAGTAAAACGGGCCTTTTGATTAGTTAGCTCAAACCATATGGGTATCTCACCGCAAGTTCCAATTGATATGAATTTTAGTACTATTCAACTTGTTGGACAATTTTTCTCCATAAGTTAAAACATATACCAATTTTGGAAAACAAATAGCAATTTATCTGATACCCAAAGCCAAAACTTTTGGTTGGGGATAGAGGGTGAGGGAGCCATAAGCTTTATCCCCTCAATTACCTAAGGTGGTCCGATAATCATCTAAAGATTTCAACGTAACAATGGATTGAAGCATATCATAAAACAGGAAGCATTACAATTAAATCGTAGATCAGACATTAAATTCAAAAAAAGTTGTACCGTATGAAGGATTTGCCATTTATAGGTTTATCTTCGGTAGAGGCATTGCCATGGACCTTAGAAGCATACATTCCCTCACTACCTCCATGAAAGAAGAAGGAATTGAATCGAGGTATGAAGCCCTCATTCTTATATTCATGAATCGAACCTTTTACAACCTCAATCAAAGATAAACTCAAAAGAAAAATGAAAATCCCTATTATGAATCTCATCTCCTTCTCTGTCCCTCTGGATATGAATCTATCACATATGAAAATGCGATTCCGAAGAAGATGAAGTTTGATGTGTAGCCCGTTGCTGCAGAAAGAAAGCGTTTATTATTTGATTATTACACACATTTAACACCTTTCCCTTCTTATTTTATACCATCATCATATATTATATGTAAGTAACTGATCTAATAAATATATATATTTTTAATCTAATATAATTTTCTTCAACTATTTTTCAGTACTTTTAACTATATTTATGATGATAAAAATAGGTAAATAAATATAGTTGAATGTAGATAAATGTATGATATATATATATATATATATATATAAACTTAATCTTTTGAAAACTTCAAAATATGTGAGATTCATCATAAGCTACATATCTATATTATACTAGTTGTGTACCCGCGCAATGCGGCGAGAGTCATGAATTTTAACGATTTTGAAGTTTCACTGGTTTTATAAGATAAGATTTAACGATAATATATGTTACACTTGATCTTTACATATTAATACAATTTGAATAAATAAGAGTTATGATTCCAATTACAGACTATCGATGGAAAAAAAATTGTATGACAGTTTAAAATCCAATATATTTAAAATTCAACATATTTAAACAATTCCACAAATGTGTTCGATTTACACCAAGAGCAAAGAACCAAGAAACTTGAGTTTTAAGATAAATACTCATAACCAATAAAGAAAACTACAAATTTGACATATCATAAGTCATGAAAAGACCAAAAAAGATGAGTTTTAAAATAAAATTTCAACTACTTACCATCTTTCTTGTTCAGAAACTCAGATTAAGGTTGAATTAATACATGTATATATATTTCAAAAAAACCCAAGAACATATTATACAGTGCAATTTGGACAACTTAACCCCAAAATATWTAGTATATATATAAATAAATAACTATAAAAGTATAAATCGTAAATATTAAAAATATTTTTTCACAGTATATATAACATATAATAATATAATTAAGTCAAAAACTATTCAATATTGAACTCATTCCGAAGGTATTAACGAGACGATTATAATGGTGTACCTTGTTAAAATAAAAATGTATTTTTTAAACATGTTTTAATTGATATACGATTATATTAATTTGATAAATGTTTAAAATGAAACATTTAAAAGTAAAAGACGTAAAGTAAATTAATTAACTAATTATAAAGGTATAAAGTGTAAATTTAAAATTATAATTTTAAAAAAATCGGTTGTGAAAGGGTGAGTGTATGTGAGGAGAGGAGAAGGTGAAAAAGTGATATAAAGGGTATCTTGGTCATTTAGTATTTTAAGACTTTAAGACTTTTGTTAAATTTGCTTTATAAGACTAGTTGTGTACCCGCGCAATGCGGCGGGATGATTTTTTTTTTAAAGATGTAAGTGGACATATTGATGATTGATTTGACAGGAACTGAAACAATCCAATAATGTATTTGATGTTGAAATTTGACAACAGATTGATTTTAATTTGGTTATGCATAAGATGTAGTATCGATAGAAAGCAGGACATTACCTACATTAAGAGTGATCAAGATTGTACAAGTCCTGCAACCTCCGTTTATTATTATAGCATAGCATGCCAATAACTCTTATTTCTCATAGTAATACTTTTATGAAATTTTGTTTATAAGGTTGTATAGATATAGGTAAACCGTAGATAAACAAAAGGGGCATAAAAGTAACATCAAGATACACTCAAATATTTAGAATATAATACGACCAATGGGGTCGTAAAATTCATAATCTAGTTTTCTATGTTCATTTTTCCCTAAACGATCTAAAAGAAGAATATAGTAAAAGAATTACATAAWRATCTGATTTAATGYAACCATAAATAGGAACCATTCTCCAAAATTCCTTCATCCCARCCAAGCTTCTGTTAGATATGTTGTGATGCAACCATAAAGCATACACTTTCTTTGTYAGCCAGAAGACTAAAACCTGATAAAGCCCAAAATTCAGCTYAGTAAACAACAGATGAAGCACAATGACTTCAAACCAGATCTAAAATCATCGCCTACACAATGACTTTAAACATCTTTGAATCAATTACTTCAAATCTATACACAAATCAAAAGTACATGAATAAACAACTGGTTCCAATTGGGTTAAAAAAGCCATTCAAAATCAAAAAATTAAAAGCATTTTGTAAGCTATCTTTCAGAATATGAATGAAGTATTGTGTATATAAAAATAATTAAGGGGTCGTTTACTAAACGCTTACCTAGGAAGTGCTTACTGGGTAACTTTCCTTACCGGATGAACATGACAAGGGTCAAAAATCTGACTCGGTAAGAGCAGTGATAAAGATAGTGATGAAGACGGAGAGTCTTACCCAATAAATCTTCGCATGGATAGGAATTTTAGCTCCCTCCTTTCTTCTTCACCTTATTCTCCTCCTTTCCATTTTGATTCTTCTGCAGAGCCTTTTTCTGGTACGCTAACTTGTCTTAAATCATTTGCATTACTAAGGGGTCGTTTACTAAACAATTACCCGAGTAAACGCTTTCCAAGTCATATTACCTTACCGGATGAATATGGTAAGGACCAAAAATCTTACCCGGTAAGCGAGGACGATGACTCTTATCCCGGTAAGCGCTTACCGGATAAACTGTTGCATACGATGTCATTTTGACGGACTAAAAACTTACCCGGTAGGTAAATAACAGTGTTAAATTTTATCGGTAAACATTTACCGAGTAAGTGTTTAGTAAACGGCCCCTAACAGAGTTTTCAAGTAATAAATTCTTCCATAGTTTCAGACCTTGACAGCTTCTATGCAAAATATCATTGTGCAGACTCTATGGATGTTTGCYTTTTGTGTGAACGCATGGTATGGTAGATTACATAAGGRCTTGTRATATAGGATATGCATTATCACATACCATTTGTTTGAACTTATCTAGGGATTCATACATTATAATCAATCCCAAAATCTTAAAGGATTGATGGTGATCATTMTCTAGAAACAGCTCTAGACTTCTTAACGCATCGAAAAGCACACATTCTCTGTAAAGATATGAAATCAAAAGAATAATTTATGGTTTAACAGGAAGTAGAGACAATAGAAAATCAATCAACAATAAAGCATCAACCAACATCATGCTTTGAACAAAAATCACAATAACCCAAAAAATTCAATTATGTTAAATAATCTCAAAAGCATAATGAAAAAGCAAAACAATGCACACACTTGAGCCAAGAATATCAAACAAAGGAAACCAAACAAGCAAACAGAGAGACCCAAATTTTCACAAGAAAATCAAGTCACTCTTGCTAACTCTTTTTTTGGAGGATACACCACCACTCGCAGGAGTGAT